GGATTAGAAACGAATCCCCGCTTTAATTAAGCTTCGCAGAAATACGTTAAGGGAATCCTAAAATCATCTGTATTACCGACTAAATAGTAATTTTGTATAATAATTACTTTTTTCCTCTTTAACAGATTCGAATATCCTCTTCCAGGATAAAAGTATACGCATTAATACTGTATGTAAAGTGGAGTTTATGCCGGGAACGACAAAAAATTTTTCTTAAAATTTCAATTTCGAAATTTTTTAATCGTTTTCTGCATAAATTCCACCTCACAGACATGTATTAATATGTATATTTTAATCCTGGAAAAGGATTTTCAAATCTGTAAAAGAAATAATTGTTATATAAAAATTATAATTTAGTCGGTAATAAAGACCGGCTTTAGAATTCTCTTAAGCGTCTTAAAAATAGATTATATTTACGTTAAAAAAAAACTTTGAATTTTATATTATTAGCGATCTAATATTGAAAGAAGGGACGTCATTCACTCTTTTTTATAGAAGCTTTTGTTATAAAAATAGGAAGCTAATTAAAACATTTCTGACATATTGGCAAATTCGATATAAAAAAGATATACATTATTAATATAATGTACATAATATATTAATAATAATAATTACTTTTACAAGAGTTCTGATTCTAACTATAAAACAATCTCCTTTGATGTATATAAAAGCGAATATGTAAATCGAATGAGTCATTATATCGTGATATCAACTTAGTGCACTGTCATTAACGGTTTAATGTCATATTATTATTACCTTTTTAAGTAAACATTTCCGGACATGTGCTTACACAATCTTCTCTTACGGTTTTTTTTTTTAATGGAATCAAAGTATTGCACATACTATAGAATTGTATTTATACATATATATGTGCGAATATATGCATGTGTATATTATATGATATAAAATTAATCTCTATTTTCATATATTTAATTTATATGTTATATAAAAATGAATACTATTGCAAACAACTTATCAGTTAATATATTATGCAGAAATATTATGAAAAAAAAAATTTGCCCCCAGAGAGATTTGAACTCTCGACCCCTGGTTTACAAGACCAGTGCTCTAACCCCTGAGCTATGGAGGCTTTCGATTGACACCTCTTTTAATATATTTAAAAGTAACATGACGTAAATCATATTTAATATATTAAACAAAAATATTATTTTAATTGTAGCAGAATTCTCTCTTTTTCATTTAACAAAGTAATATTGTTAATTTAAGAAAATATGAAAGAATTTCATGCAAAAAAAAAATGTAAAAAAAGAAATCTCAAATACATTAATTAATATATTTAAATATAAAAATACTTTCATAATATTAAATTTAAATTGTTTATTTTTTAATTTTTTGTATGATAAACAAAGATGTCCAAAGTATTGTATTAAAATAAAATTAATATTACTTTTCCATGTTGTTTATATTACAAAGATATTAAAGGCTTGTTTTAAAAGGATTCCGAGAATTTAAATAAAAGAGAATTTGTTCAAGTAAAATTGCTGTGCAATGAATAAAATTATTCATTTAGGAAAATCATGTCGTAGGATTTCTACTTTACAATGCAGGAACTACTCCAGTTTTTCTAGTTAAAAAAGAATTCGCTAATATATTCTCAGTACCTTTGAACCTTTTCTTTCAGAGCTACGATAAATATTAAATATTTATTTGCATATTTATGAGGAAATATTCACATATGCCGCCACTATGAGTTTGCGTGTTGACGTTCCGCATTTTATTTCGCATTTGCCAGATACTCGGAAATTTCGAATCTGCTGAACTGTCACGTTTCGCTAAAACATTTACTTACGCCATACATTTATTATTTCCGAATCTTTCAATTTGAACGTTTAATCTTTTTTATTTGATTCATTATTAAATCTCAACGACAATATGATAAAGTTCAAGGACTCTAAATAAAGAATAATATTTAGATATTATAGTATAATCGAAATAATCATATTAAATATAAAAACACATGTGTCTATTCCATTCATAAACGTAATACGAAAAGAACAGTTTTATTGAAGTGTTAGTTTTAGTTGAAGTCTAAAAATTGAACGAGATACAAATCTGAAAATAATTTTATTAGACCATTAAAATAATTATGTGGGACGCTCAAACTAGTCGCTAGAATGTGAAAACTTTGCAGCATTGCTCATCACGCTTAAGTTTCTTATATAATTATTTTGATGGTAGAACAAAATTATTTTCAGACCTATATTAAATTTTCAAAAACCTAATCGTTCTCTCTATACTGTGTACTACATACTGTACTCCAATGAAGTTGTCACTATCATTTTTTTGTAAAGAGATAATTTGGTGTGTATTTTCTTATCTCTTCATTTATTCTTATCGCATTTACATAACAATGATATCACTCAAAAAACAGAGTTTTTTAGAAAATGAGTTTGAATGTTTTAAATCATTACAAAATTTTGTAATATTAATTTTGAAAATGTAATTTGGTATAATAATTGATTATAGAAGAATAAAAGTATGTCTCTTAAAATATGTTCTTTTTTTGTTTCCATTCATTTTTTGTAAGCAATTCCAAAAAGCAAACTTTTTTAGTTATGTTATAGCAAATGAGCAATATGTATATTTGTTCTAAGCCTTTATTGCGTCTCCTCATCTAAAATAAATTAAAAAGAGATATCGATATACTTCAACATTATATTCCTTTTTTAATAAAGCACAGATGCTAAGGTCAATTAAAATAGTAAAACGCGCAGTTTATACCTACTACGTCTTTGATTCTATCAGTAAAAAAGAAATGATCCTTTTATTAGGTTGTCCGGAAAGTTCGTGCCGACTAACCTATGTAATTTAATAAATGTATACTAAAATTTAAATTTTTTGCGTTTCAATTTTCCTTCAAAGTCGGCACGAACTTTCCGGACAACTCAATACTTATAAATCTTAAAATGACAAACAGCGTGCGATGTAAAAGGCTCGTGAAAAACGCCTTCCATCACTCGTTTTCCGCCAAATAAGCTACGAAATGCGGCGGAGGAAGTCGATGAAGGACAACCCGTCATAATGCAGCCGGTTCTGCTGTGTGCGCAGCCACTGTACCTTTCGCATACCTGGGAAAATGCATCCTTGAGTGCGTTCGCCAGACGACAAAGTCCGCCTGCGCGTCGTAAAATCGCTACATCGCTCGCCTATCTTAAGCTGCCGACTTCGCAATGTCGGTGTAAACTTTAAGGGTGAAAGGAGAATAGAATAAAATTTTATGCCAGCATCGCTTGAATAAAGTTCAGCTCGCACAAAGGCATTCTTACAGTTACTATTATTGAATGTATTATCACTCATTAAACGTGATTTTCGCAAACTGAAATTTAATTTTTACAAAACGATTTTTTGTAAAAATCGACGATACATCTTATGTCAATCGTTCTTCAGTTTCTTCTACGAAGAAGAATTTTAAAAAAAAAAAAGGAAGAAATTGCGCAGTTTCGCAACGTAATTTTTTATGACGCTGTAACTTTTTAGACGCTTGAACGACCGTCTAGGGCATCCTCACTGCAAAAATGCGAAATAGAAAATTATTCGATAATAACGGTTAAGTTCGGAATTAAAAACTTTAACAACCGGAAATTAAGACAGAAGCAAGAAACTAACGAACTACGTTTAAGGACTGATTAAGTTCTGACAGGACTAATTAGAAGCGTTTCGTGCTATTCGTCAACTCGTGAAAATTGTGCTGATTTGATTAATGGCGTATATACAACGTTAAGACGGAAAATGCGTAAAAAAGCGCGATTATTTTGAGTTTATGTATCTACGTTTCATGAAAAAAAATAAAAGCGAAATGAATGCTTTTAGCCGAAGGTGGAAGCGGAAGCATTTGTTTGTTTCGCGTTATAAAGCACGTCGTACATTTCCGTTTGAGTAATCCTTCGTTTTTACTACAAAGCAATTGCTTTGCTTTTCCACGCTGAAGCCTGCAGCCATCTTTTGTCATTACTATCACGTCGGTTAACGTAATTTAATTATCTTTAACGAGGTAACGATCGCAAGGCGAGTTTTTAAATTCATCGATTAATCAATCGCATTATGCACAAATGCAACTTTGTAAAAGTTGCATTTGCACATAATGCGATTAATCAATCGATGAATTTAAAAATTTGCCTATATTTATCTCAATGATTGATCTTTCGAACTCATATATAATTATGACACATCGCGATGCGCATATATTAGTAGAAGATAATTAGAAAGTGAGGTGTAATTTCAAGTATATACCAAGAAGTCAACTACTTCATATAATGTCGTGGTATTTATTTTCACATGTATTGAATATGCTACATGTTTATGTCACTCATCTCCACAACATTATTATAACTTTTTACTGATAAAGAAAGTAAACTTTTTACAAATAATTGGACAAGTACGTTTTTGTTATTAAAATTTATTGGTACAATAATTAATTTAACATTTTATAATTTTTGTTATTAATATTTATTATATATAAATACGAAGGAAATATGAATATTTATACACTGGAAAAAATATTTCTAAATTTTAGTAAATTATTTGTTTGAATAGTACTAACTAAACTATTTATTAAATATGAAGATATATCTCTAATACAAGAACTATTAATTTGATTTTACTAAATAAATATTTATTCAATAAAAAAAGTAAATAAACGTTTAGCTGGCACTATTCAAATAAATATTTATTAAAATTTAGTACTTTTCCCTAACAAATACAATATTTTGCATATGCTTTTAACTATTTAATTGTGATTGACACTGTGTCACACTTGATGCCGATTTGAATAATTTTTTTATCTATAAAGTAGTTTAAGATTAAGTGGAAATGAAAGGTCAACTCATAATCCAACTTTTGTTCTCTTGAAATGAGGATGCAAGTGCATTTCCTAGTATCCTCCGCATATTCCATGGCATCCTGGAGTGCTATCAAAATCCAGAAAGTCCTCGTCAACTACGATCGTCCGAATGATTGTTTCACAGCACGATCATGCCGATCTATCCCGCTTTGATAGTTGCACGCCTATTGCCATATATTATCATCAATATTATTCTAATCATCTCTATATGTTGATGAATGTTTGATTATAAACATCGGCATAGTTGATGCGTTATAATCATGAGACGAACGATCCGCATTACAAGATGCAATTTTCTACTTACAGGGGAAATTAGCATCGCATAACAGACATAATCAAGGACATGGCATTAAAATGCAGCACAAAATGCAAATACGATTTTGTTGTCGATATGTTACACTCGCTACCGAGAGACACACGAGGTCGAAAAACAAATCTATCAGGATGTAATGGGGTATAATGATAAATCTCTGATAATGTAGGAGGTTTCATTCTCGTTCACGCCTGTTATGAAATGTATTTGTGCGAGGAAGATTGCATATGTATCTCAAAAATCATTTGGTTCATTCAAGCAGATGTATCGTTCATTTTAACAATGATATAACTAAAAAAATTGATTGATTTTGTTTAGTTGCTTGCAAAAAGAGTGAATTAACATAAAAAAGAAAAGAAAAATCATATTTTAAAAGTATTTTCATTTCTCTATAATCTCATTTATATCAAAGTTGCATTTCAAAATTAAAATTACAGAATTTCAAATGATTTAAAATATTTAAAATCTTTTTTGTGGAAAACTTCGTATTTTTTACTTGTATCGTTGTCGTTATAATAAATGTACGACTATTTAAAGCTGGTGCTTTAAATAGTGTATTCAAACTAGAGCAATTGCGATCAATGACGCACAGTTTCATATATTAGAGATATCGTAATAAATAGAAACTGTATACAAGATACTTGATTTTATTATAATATATTTTAATAAAAGATCTTTTTATATCAATATTCCTCGAATTGATACCGAGACACGAATAACTTGTCAAATTAAAAATAATTGAGAAAATAAAAATCTTTTCATAGATAAGAGCCGCAGAAAATATATAGAAATAAATAATAGAATATGATTCTTCGAAAATTCACTATCAAGATAAGCTCAATTGGATTATTTAATAAAATTTTAATTTCAGAATCAATTATAAATTATATATTATATAAATTTATATTAAAATAAATTAAAATTGAAAGATCGTAAATAAAAAATTATCTATCAATGCATATTGAAAAAAAGATATTTCAAAATTTATTTGTGAGAAATTTATCTCACTAAAATACATCTAAATACGGTGAAATAAAATTTTATTCTTAGCAAATAAATCGTCTATTTTATTTTTTTTACAATTAATGATATTTATATATTTCACAGAAATAAATATTTCATTATCATAATTAAATTTTTTCATAACTAACTTTTTCATAATACATATCAAAGAAAACGTTATAAGTAACATTTACTTCGCGATATTTCGATTTATTTTTATTTCAATGCACATAGCTAAGAAGATATCTATATCAAGCTCGTTAAACCCATCATTATGATCGGATAGAAGTGAAATGTTATCTATTCGGAAAATATTGGAAACAATAAAATACGTACTGAAACACCACGAGTTGCTTCGGTAGGCGATCCAGAATGATAACGCATCGATTCGAAGTCAAAAGTTTACGTTATCCAGCTCACGTGTGAGTTTCAGAGTGATCTCCAGGGTGGAGGTGTCACTGTGCCACTTGGCGGAGGATGCGTTGGGATCCACCGAATGTGGTGTCGGTAGGTGCAGCCGGTATCTGGTGGAATCGCGACTGATTTTACGCATCGGGATTTACAGCTTCGTAAAATTGTCAAAGAAGGGCGAACGCTCGTCTCCATCAGAATCAAATGCGATTTCGACGGAGCGGGAACGAGCTTCACTCTCCTTCTGTCACATAGGTCACACTAATAAATTCCCAATCGTGGTCACCTCACCTTGGACTGCGCACGTCGATCGCCTCGGATTCCACGGAGAGCTCCACTTTTTCCCGCGTTTCCTGGGGCAATTTCACCAGCACTGACAGCCACTCACAGGACGCCGTGCTCGGCGTTTTAAAGCCCATCTAAATAACAATTCGTCCGTCTTCAAGGCTGCGATTCACACGTAACGTGTCGAGTGAAATGAATTCTCTTTCGACATTTCGCGAAGTCACTGGAAGTCGCTTTGCGAGAGAGAATAATCGAGAGACTCTAGACACGTGTTATCTTGGCTCTGTTGCTTTATTGCGCCACATTTCTTTAGCGATAATTCTATTTTTCCAGGAAAATTGCATATATTTTAATTTTTAAAGCGCAATTCGAAAACGGTATATATTTTCATTTTTTTATGTTTAAATTAAATTCGCATCTTATTGTTTCATTTCTTTATGCTTTTCTTCGTTAGTTTTTATTGACTTTGAAGTATGAAAATTTTATTGACTTGCAGCATATATAAATTTTGATCTTTGAAGAAAATACAGATTCATCATTTATTTTCATCATTTTTTTTTCAGATTTATCATTTATTTTATTTTATTCTCATACATAAAATATATTCTCGAACTTTTAAAAAAAAAATACAATAGAGATACAGAACTTCAAATCGAACGATCGATCATTTATCATTAAATCTACGATAAAAATAAACTATGATATGTTGTATGTAGTTCATTCCTATTCATATTCTTATATGTTCATACGTATCATAATTTATTCTTATCATAGATTTAATGATAAATGATGGATCATTCGATTTGAAGTTCTGTATCTCTATTGTATTTTTTTAAAAGTTTGAGAATATTTTATATATAAGCACAAGTAATAAATCAAATAGATGGTAAATCTGTACGTTTCTTCAGAGATGAAAATTTTTATATTTATAATACGAGTACTGAACGTTTCATAACGCTCAAAATTGTATCAAAGCCTTATTTAATTGTTACCAAAAAGAAACTCACTCCTAAATAAACATCTTCAGCTGTCACTGCCTGTTTAAACTTCATCTCGTATTCGGGCGACTCTCTAGGGTCGTAATCCTGCAAGCTCTGAGTGTCGACTGCCTCTGAGGGATGCCAAATATCGTCACTCTTGCTTTGTAGAGGTGCATGAGGTCCCGAACGATTCTGGGAAGAATCCTGAGAAAGGTCACTCGACGCGCCAATGTCACCAGGTCCTTGTAAGCAAATATTTCATTAACCATCTTGTCGAGCATTCGTTTTTGTTCCACACAACTAATAACTAATAACATTACATTGTCTCGAGAATAACGCATGATAACATCACCCAAAGGCGGCGCGTAAGCTGTTTAACGGTAATTTAAAAACGGATGTGTAACGATGATTTATAATTAAACGTAACTGCGAATTGAAAATCGCACGAGTCGTATTAAAATTAATGATTGACAGCGCAAAATAACTTGCAGCGTGGATTGCTTCATTGGTTGCTACATCGGATCATTTATAAAGCGTTACATCGATAATATTACCGGTTTGCCAAGAGGAAATCGAAATATGCATATAAAACTTGCGGTACACGTTTAATTCTCATCGCAATTATCTACAATCCTAATAAGAGGGAGAATGTAATTCTGCTATGAACGTATTCAAAGGATTCAACTTCCTCGCTAAATTATTTTTATTTTTTCATTTTTATAATTAAAAAAAAACAACTTTACTTTTAACTTTAAATAAAAATAAGATATTTTTTTTTCTCCGTTACGACTATATAATTTCGGAAACTTCCATTAGTTATAACTTTAACAAAGTGTCATAATTTTAATAATATTTAATAAAGTTTCTCATCTAAGAGGTCATTCTTTTCTACATTTTTTAAAATTCTTTTTCTGAGGAAGATGATCGTGAATATTTTGTATATAATAATATATAATAACAGTTGTAATATTATAAAGAACTATATATTTCACCTTTTATATAAATGTATTTTGCATAAATATATTTAATATAATATATTTGATATAAATGTATTTTTTTTAAATTATGACTCTAAATCTTAATATTTTTTCTATTCAAAATCAGGAACGAGAAGGAGATATTCTAAATTCTAAAATATTTAGAAAAGCAATTCATTAATGCAAAAAATGTTATTTATACGATAACAGAAATCAGAATTGAGAAACTCTCTTCTCCGAAAAAAATCCTAAATACATTCATGAATTTTACGTTACACGAAATACTTAAGACACAAGCATTATAAAAAATTCTTTTTATCATTTCGTTCTCGCGAGCTTCAAGTTTATGCGAATAAAAAATGTAAATTAAATAATCAAAAATACGCGAATAATAAACGCTCGCGCATACGAGTGCGTATGGAACTGTTTGTTAATTAATTTTCGCCAGGCTAAATAATATCCCGAACAATACATCGAATTAAACGTAACGATACAACGAGATTTTCAGTTCGGGAACACATCGCTTTACCCGGCTTGAAATTGCACAGGGGAAATTAGTCGTCGCGCGACGCCGATTGTTTTAACAGTATGCAACAATTTTGCTGGGTGTACCTCCATAATTAATCAGTCGTAAAACGTAAACTCACCCAATTTCCTCGCACCCGCCTGCGGTAGATCGTCCTCGCTGTCGGAGTCCTTTGATGGACAAATTAAATTTTGGAGAGCCTGTAAATCCGTCGGACTCAAATAGCTGTCCATCGTGAATATTATATACGATATCGTGAAATTTTACCTGACGCTCACACTTTCTCTACAACGCATAACAAATTAACGTCGCTATGACAACGAACTCGTGGTTACTCGATAAGGTGGTCCGATTAGAAATTGACTCGGTCGAAAAATTCCGTTTGATGTCGCGCGGCGTCGAAACTATTTGTTTATTAAATTGAATATGCAACAACCGTTCCCTCGATCGGAGAACAATTTCAATCATGTGTTATGGAGACAAAAATAAAAAATGGTCGAAAGTACTATATAGCTGTGATACGTTTGGTGATTTGTTTAAATTTAATTTAACTTCAACTATTTTTATTGTGTAATTAAAAAATATAAAAATACATATAAAAATATATATAAAAATATAATGTATATCCTACATGTATGTACAATGGACATTATACATAGACATTATACATACATACATGTATAAAAATAGATAGAATATAAGCAAAACGTATAAATAGAGTATCTGTGAAGTTAGCACGGCATTTTATTAATTTTCAAAAAATAATGAAACAATTGTTCCGGTAATAGCATTTTCCATTGTTCTACTGTTCTTTCAAAAATAATAAAATTTTCTACATTTTTTATATCAAAAAATCAAAAATAAAGAAATGCCATGCTAACTTTACGTTCCAGCATGGCATAATTTCCTCTAAAATACCAGATGCCATTGAATATTAGAACATCTGTTAAATATTCCCGTTTTTTTAAGCTAGATTGATTATTATATAATGTTTCAAAACAAAATTTTAACAATTAATAATTTTTACACCGATTAGAATATTCGTATACTCCACGGAAATGTGTCGACCCGATAATTTTGGGCATTTTTGACAGTATAGCTCTGACTTCTTTTACTCGAGTTCTATATGAATAAATCATTATCAAAAGTTGTTCTATTTTATAAATATTTTTTAAACAACTTTAACTATCGCTACCAGCATATCACTTAGCGGAAATATATCATGCTGATTAATTTTAGCTCTTTTGACGGTAGTTCTGAGTTGTTCCGCTTAAATAAATTATTATTAAAGGTTGTGCCGCTTTATAAATATTTTTTACACAATCTTAACTATCGCTATTAGCACGTCACTTGGCGGAAATGTGTCGTGCTGATTATTTTCAGCACTTCTGGCGATAATTTTGAATTGTTCCGCTCGAATATACGAATAAATTATTATCAAAGATTGTTTCGCCTTATAAACACTTTTTACACAATCTTAACTATTGCTACCAGTACAACACGTAGCGGAAATGTGTCATGCTGATTAATTTTAGCACTTCTGGCGGTAGTTTTGAGTTGCTCCGCTCAAATAAATTATTATCAAAGGTTGTGCCGCTTTATAAACATTTTTTATACAATCTTAACTATCGCTACCAGCATGTCACTTGGCGGAAATGTGTGTGTCGTGTTGATTATTTTCAGTACTTCTAGCGGTAGTTTTGAATTGTCTCGCTCGAGTTTTATACGAATAAATTATTATCAAAGATTGTTCCGCCTTGTAAACACTTTTTACACAATCTTAACTATCACTACCAATACATCACTTGGCGGAAATGTATATTGCTGTATATTCCTATAGAAGAACTATCACCAGAACTATCACCAGAAGTACTGAAAATAATCAGCTCAACCATTATTTGATTTTCTTTTACAGCATTACAAGTAATGTTTCAATAATCGTATCAGTTTCATTAAATTTTTTCTCTTATAAAAATTTTTGTAACGGAATAGTGGGCTGCTGTCAAATTTTGTTTCAAAATTCAAACCTGGGAATTGGCCAACCTCAGATTCGTATTTTGAAACAAATTTTGTTTCAAAATTCATACCATAAAATTTATCTCAGGGGAAACAAAATCGATCAAAGTGAAGGCGACAAAATTCAAAATCAAGTTGATCGCTTTCTTTGATGCAGATGACTTTGATTCTCGAAATGAAAAATTCAAATAAAGGGAATGCGTTTTGATGATATTTTTGACATCTAGGCGAATTGACTTCAAAATATTTCTTCAATGTGATGAGCGCATTGAAAAAACTTATTTCGAAAGGTGATTACTATACAAAAGCTTCCAATGGTTGAAAGACATTCTGAGCATTGAAGTCAGGAGAAATTCTATGTTGGTTTTCATTAATAAAATTTATATACATATTTTAGTTTCTTGATTTTTTTGAATCCTGTTTTAGAACTTTTTAAGCAGCCCGTGTATTTCGTTATTAATATGGAAATTAATAATTTGTTATTTTACATATAAAAGGAAAAAGATTATGATAACAAAAAGCGAAAAATAGATATATATATATATAAATTTCAAGGAACCAAAATGACATAATTCATATAAAAATAATATAAATACTTATTTTAATATGACTAATCTAAATATAAAGAAAATATAAATATAAAGAAAATTAAATTGATATTTTTGGCAAAGTTAATATTAAAAATAGCTAATATTGAATAATTAAAAATTAAGTTATTTAATATTTTTATGACAAGATTTATAATTGAGTAAATCTAATAGACTCACTGTCAGCTCTGAAGGATTAAATTAATTCCGAGTTTGAGCAAAGTCATCCTCAAAGTCTGCGCTTCTGCCAATTAAATTTTATGGTAAGTATCCCATAAAAAAGAAAGCTTTTAAAGAGTCAATGTAGGAAAATGTCAAAATAAAAAAAAATAAAATTTAGAAAATTTTAATTAAATTATATAGATGTAAAGAAGGAAGATTATGATCTTAGAGCTTGAAACTTATGATCTTTCAAGAGACCGAATGAGAATAATCCATCTAAAAAAGAAATCTATTTTACATATAAAAATTATGAATATATTCGATCTTATTTATTCAAGATTGTCTAAATAAACATGAGATGTTATACAATTATTTCATAGGAATCCTACAGCACAAAAGTTGCGGCAACAATACTACAACATTGCAGCAATATTGCTGCAAATTCTGTGCTGTATGGAAATAGTCTGAATATTTTCGTAGTCAAATTCAAAACGATTTTTTAATATAATTAATCTCTGAATATATATCGATTGATCTTTAATTCATTTTTAATCACATTTAAAGATCTATATCTGCATCAATTTAAAGATCTATCGTACACGTGACAATTTGAAACACTTGCCGCTTCCTGCAAAAATTGCATTCCATTGTGATCGCTGGCAGTGAAAATGAGAATGGCAGTGAACACCTTAATCGAGGAACTTAAAATCTGAAATCGCGCAAAACGTTTCATGTACCGCTTGTGCGATCACGTGCAGTCCGACCAACCAACGGTGTCCAGTGCCGGTGAGGAGACCCTTTCTGCGACAGCTTGGCAACATGGTGGACGTGATGAACGAGAAGTTGTCAAAAAAGTAAGTAAAGTGCACAACATTGGACGAGATTATCGTATCTGTAGGTAGTTGATATCGTTGGGTCTCGTGACGCTTTTCGCTCGATTTCTCTAACCATAACACGACAACTTTTCCCCTCGCGGGCAACATAACCTAAAAAGGAGAAAAGTTCGACATGTGGCTCGTTGCCACGCGGTCATATACGATGCTCATTACGAGGTTCGGATTTTCTCGCAGATAGCGGTATCTTGTAGAAAAATCTAATCGTCAGATGGATAAAATCTAATCCCGGCGCAGCGATCATGTTCAGTACGTTAACCAATGCTCGTATTATGATTGCGCGGTCAGTAGGGCGAACTTGGTTAACGAGTCACGGGACGAAGTTGCGTCAAACTCCTCCGCGTCGATTTGCTACGAAGTGCGTAATGGATCATTCGATATATTATTCGATCCTGAAAGAAGTGATTTGAGACGATATCCTAATTGCAGCGAGCTGAAAAGGCGTCTCAAGGCCGAGCAAAAAGCTAAGGAGAAGGCTGAGAAGGAAGAGGCCAGGACGCTTGCAGTGGCAACTCAACCAAAATCTGAGAAAAAGGAAATCAATGAAGAAGAAATTAGTCCAAATGTAAGTTCCGGACTCTAAAACAGAAATTTATACTGGGTATAATAGAACAAATTTACCTTATGTGGAAAACAAAGAATAAAGATCTTTTTATTTCATGGGCAATCAATTACTTTTTCTTGGATTTAATAGAATTCAGCAGCACAATTTTCAATATTACACTTTACCTAAAGTCTGTTATATAACGTATTAATATTTTTATTAAACCTAGCTGTACATATTTATTTTTTACAGAGATCATAGAATGTATAGCTAAAGTTAGTCTTGAGCCGATTCCAAAAAGGTTTATTATGAAATTTGTGTATTTGCAGGAATATTTTAAGCTTCGGTCAAACTTGGTCAGTCAACTCAAAGTTATTAATGATAATCCTTACCCACATAAATTTCACGTATCTGTCTCCCTGGAGGAGTTCATTGAGAAATTTAAGGATATTGTGAAAGATGGTGAAATATTGGATAATGAGGTACATAGCGTCGCTGGACGTATTCACTCCATTCGAGGATCTGGTGCCAAATTGATCTTTTATGATCTTCGTGGAGAAGGTGTCAAGGTGCAAGTGATGGCTAACGCAAGATTGTATGAAAACGAGGAAAAATTTGTAGCAGATACTGCAAAGATTAAGAGAGGCGACATCATAGGTGTCATCGGAAAACCTGCAAAGAGTAAAAAAGGCGAATTCTCGATCGTACCACGATCTATTACCCTTCTAAGTCCATGTTTGCATATGTTGCCACATCTCTATTTTGGCCTAAAAGATAAAGTAAGAAATAAATTTGTAGAAAAATATATAATTCTTAAACATATATATTTTTAAAATTTGTGTTATAATAATTCCTAACTCATTAAACATGCAATGTGTGTAAATATATTATGTAAATACATAATTCATAATTGGGTTAAATGCTTTTGTATACAATCAGGAAACTAGATTTCGGCAGCGATACTTGGACCTTATATTAAATGACAAAGTTCGACAAATCTTTCACACACGTGCGAAGATAATCGCTTATGTACGCAAGTTTCTTGATAATATGGGCTTCTTGGAAGTCGAGACTCCCATGATGAATATGATTGCTGGAGGTGCAACTGCCAAACCTTTTGTTACACATCATAATGAACTCAATATGGATTTGTTCATGAGAATCGCTCCTGAGTTATATCACAAGGTATGAAATACTTTTTCTCCATAGAATTTAAAATAAACGATACTCTAGATTAAAAGAAAAAATAAAACGCAACAGCAAACATTTAATAGATGCTAGTCGTCGGTGGGATCGACAGAGTATATGAGATCGGCAGGCAATTTAGGAACGAGGGTATCGACATGACTCATAATCCAGAATTCACCACCTGTGAGTTCTATATGGCATATGCCGATTACAATGATCTAATGGAGATCACTGAGAACATGGTATCTGGTATGGTGAAGTCTATACATGGAACTTACAAGATAGAGTACCATCCGGACGGACCGGAGGGCAAAGCATATGAGATCGATTTCACACCACCTTTCAAGCGTATCTCGATGATGACGCAATTGGAAGAAGTTCTACAAGTCAAACTGCCTGAAGCTGATCAGCTTAATACACCAACGGCAATCAAGTTCCTTAGTGATCTTTGTGACAAGCATGAAATCGAATGTCCTCCTCCCAGGACATCGGCGAGATTACTAGACAAAGTAAGACATAAGTGAAACTTAATGAAACATCTAACTTATTTTTGAACGTAACAGTCTAATAATTTTAATAAGTAACCAAAAATAAGAAAGATTGTAGATATATCTGTTAAGACATTTGTATCTTTCAATTACACACAATAATATCAGCCACTCTAGATCGGAATATCTTTTGCGGAATAGCTCGTTGGAGAATTCATCGAGGATACATGTATCAATCCCACTTACATCATTGATCATCCGCAAGCAATGTCTCCATTGGCAAAATGGCATCGATCCAAAAAAGGCCTTACTGAACGATTCGAATTGTTTGTTATGAAAAAGGAAATTTGTAATGCATACACCGAACTGAATGATCCGGTCGTTCAGAGAGAAAGGTACATAGAAAATTAAACTTATTGATGAAGATTTGTGTTTCACACAATATATTTTGATAAAGCCGTCGATTGAGTTATTCAATTTCACGACCAATTTACAAGTTTAAACGTGTAAAATCTGCATACAGATTTGAGCAGCAAGCAAAGGATAAAGCAGCCGGTGACGAGGAAGCACAATTGGTTGATGAGAATTTTTGTACAGCTTTGGAATACGGTTTACCACCAACGGCTGGTTGGGGAATGGGTATTGACCGATTAACAATGTTCCTCACTGACTCGAATAATATTAAAGTGAGTACATAAATTGAATATTTGTATATTTTTCAAAATGATGAATTAAAATTTAAAAAAGAATATCTTATGAAATTAATTTATTTTTTCATATAATTAAATTATTTTATGTATGAAGAAGAAACGGAATATATATAAAGAACGGAATATATATAAATCGTAAGAATGTACATTTTTTTTATCTTTAGGAAGTATTGTTCTTCCCTCAAATGAAGCCGGATGATCCAAACAAAAATAAAGAAGCGACTGAAGATGATAAAGCATCAAATGATAGTGCAGAAAAATAAAGTTTAAATAATTATTTTAAAAAATATATAAAATCGATAATTTAGAAAAAGTATTCCAAAATTTTTTATTTAAGTAAATAAAAAATATTTACACAAATAAAGATTTTTTTTTTTCAATCAATAATTGGCTATAAAAGATGTGCTCTTCTTATTTTTAAATTATATTAAAATTAAAATAATTAAATTATATAAATAATGTTTCTTATATATCATATTTATTTGATATCTGACTATACATCCATTACGATCAAGTATGATACAGATACATTTACAAAATCGCAAAAACATGAGACTATAATGTTATTGTAAAGATTAGAATGTCCCTTGTCTATTAACATCACAATTCCAAATCATTTATATTTTTTACCTTTTCTTTCGTTTTATAGCATAAAGATAAACCAAAATTCATTATTTTATATAGATAAAGCAAAATTACAAAATTACTTATTCAAACTATTATTAACATTATATAAAAATTCAGTAATCAGGAAATGAAAAAAAACAATTTTTTACAAGTAAACACTTTTATAAACATTGAGCTGCATTTCAAGACTCTTAAAATACTTCACTCGCCATTTCAAGATACGAAATAATAAACTACGTAGTTTAAAGTCTATTTGTCCGAAAAGTTAAGGATCAAGTTGATTCAAAGTTGATTCTCGCGAATTAAAATGAATTAAAAAAGCACTCTTACACAGTCTTATCTTATCCTTTCTCATTCCAAATAAAATAACGCTAATTTATTCTACTCCGAGTTTTGAAACGCAATCACGGACATTTCTTGTGAGCACAGATTTGGTAGCCGCTTGATTCAAAACGTAACAGCCACCACATTGAAGAAGATAAATAATATATACAATAAGAGAGTAATACGCTTTGTACTTCAACTCGTGAAACAAGCCAAAGAACATCGAATCTTAATAAGTATTTGCATATTTGCTGGCAGCATGTTTATATTGTCTGATATTCATTTGGGAAATAAATATAATTCTATGTTTTGTAAAATTTAATCACTCCAATAACACAAGAGCTCTATAGAGATCAGCTCATCAAGATATTTATAATAGCCTGTACTACTATATTTAAGTAAATATGTCTAAACGCCTCTACAGTCCACATTTCCATCGCACGTCTAACGCTAAATATGACTACTTGAAGCCCGTTTAATATAGGAAGATCATACACAATAGTATATGACATATTAAGAAATGTTAACTTGATCTGTGTTAAAAATCTCTACTTACGATATGATAAAACATACAATTGCCATAATATACAAAACTTTAAGATGTAATTATATATATTAAATACATGTAAAAATGTACTCTGCGAATCTACAGAAAATATATTATTACAGTAAATTTTATGTAGATTCAGTCATTTTTAGCTCTAAATGTGTACATCAAAATGTAAATCAGTAAACTAGTTGAAATGACCAAGAAAATATGCTTCACTGAAATAGTTCATTGATATGTATCTCGTATTTTTAATGACTGTAAAAAGAATTCTTAAAATGTGACTATTAAGATTACGTCTGACCAATAATATATGTATATTTTCATTATGCATTTAGTGTAATATCGTTCTTAATTTATAGAAAAATTAATTACATGCATTTTACATTTAATTCTTTAGCAGTCACTGTACACATTTGAAGAATTTTTCTTATAAATATTTTAATAAACATCACAATGTAAAGTTTAAAAATACAATTCTTGTCGGAAGATTAAATATTCTGCTGGCAGCTTTTTCAGTATCTTTTTGTATATTCATAGAGAAAAATATTTTATACTATTTGAAAATTCATATTAAATTCTCACATAAAATAAATTAGTGTTATTGACTGGCAAAAACATGTTCGTAAATTGAAACATGTTTAATTCATTAAGATTAATTCAGCAATTAATAATAAAATTTTAAGACTGTTGTAACAAAACAAAAATAAAGAATCTAAAGCAAACCTTTATCAGCTCTCCTCATCCTGAACGTATTTCGTAACAGAATTGTAATGAGCACCTAATTCATACATATGACGATGATAAGTCAATATTACCTTCTTGCCATTACTGTACTCATCTCCAATAATATAGGGAGCCCCTGTAGCTTGTATGACCTCGATTGGACATTTCAATATACGTGATATTACCTGTAGCTGTAATAAAAAAAAAACCAATAAAATGTTCTAGGAAAAAAATTGTATTATTTTAATAATTTATGAAGAAGAAATACTTTAGAATTAAATTTAATTTAATGGTTCATAGTCATTATACACTTTTACAACATGTTATTTACCTCAACAGCACCACCCCAAGCACTTGTTTCTGCTACATTGTTGCAGTACTTTTCATACTCTTCAGGTGTTAACAGTTCATCAGAATCAGGATTGGAAAGAAATGGCAAAAAATCGTTCATGTTTTCTCTCAAATAGTCAGCAGTCTTTATTCTGAGATCATGCAGGCTAAGAGGCGTCTCTCCATTTATCTTAAGTTGATGTGCCACAGCATTATATAAACTGAAAACAAATTTAGACTTTTATATACAGTCAAGAAACTAATTGTCCAAATAACGTACCATTATATTGATAATTTCTTCAAACTAATGTTAAAAATTATGGATTTAAATTACATTACAATTCCATACATGCATTTGGAGAAGTAATAGTGAAAAATGATATTGTATTATCCAAACAATTAATTTTGTGATTGCATATGTTTAACATATGACATAAAATATCCTTTTATTTTCCTTTCTTGGCAATATCGATATGATATATACTATACATTTTAAGATCTTTACCAATGACCGTCGCTAGGAATTTCATAAATCATTAACTCGCGCTCAGAAAGTATCTTCTTTATAGCTTCTATCTCAATATTTCTTTTGCCAAAGGCATTAAGAGCTTCCTGCTCAATGATCCTCTGATTGCGTTCCTTCTCCGCGATTGCTTTCTTCTCTCGTCTTTTTTGCGCTTTGGAAACCCTATGTGCCAATTGCTCCGAACAATTGTCTTTACTAATTTCTTTGCTTGCTTCTTCGGGCTTCTCCGTCTCTTTGTCGTTCAGTGTAACGTGAGCTAGTCTCCACGTATTCAACTCCTCCGTTTGATGTTTCTCCAAGCGCTCCTCTAGACGTCCTATCTCTTCCGTAATTTCCTTCTTTTTCTTTTTGTCACCTTTACAAATGGATTTCTTCAAGGTCTGTATTTGCGCTACGATTAAGAAAGAAAGTTTGAACGGCGATCACAATGTGTAAAGACCTGCTTTAACTTCAAATCGGAGAACGACGAAGTTACAAAGATCTATTAAAAATGAAAATAAAAGAAGTTGTGGTTTTCGATTTGAATACCTTGCAATTCCTTGCGTTCCTTCTTGTGCTTCTGCGTTAGCTCTTCCTCTGTTAATGTCGCCTCTGCCATCGTACTTTAAATATAACCTCTACCGTAAGTAAAGTTCTCGCAGAAGCACGCTCCGTGTTACGGAGAACGGAAGTAATGGAACAGGAAGCTAAGTGAGTTGAATCGGCGCATGGTGTACTGTTGCGCATTTTCAACATCAGAAGAGCGGTACTAGATGCTGCCATGTTGCCGCGATTATTTGAATTTGGCTTTAAGTCAAAGCTTATGATGAGGCAGAACGATTTTTCTTTAAATATGACTTTTATTTAATGTCTAGAACTTATTATGATTTTGTGTTTAAATTACAAATAGCGCGCATGCTGTGACATCTTTTAGGGAGTTTTCCAACAAAAGACAGATGACAGTGTAACACAGTGAATTATTACATCCTTGTTGTTCGCTAATGTTTAAATAAAGATGAAATGTTTTTTATGTTACACAGTGTCGTGTGTTGAAAAGCTCTTTAAATTAAGCATCTATATTATTAGGAAACATTGTTGTGTATTCTGGAAAAGCGACAGGTTGTATTACCATTTAATCATACTTTACCATTTACATACTTTCAAAAAATCTTTTAGAGTCTTCAAAATTATTCTCCATTGAAGCATGTATAAAAAAATAATTTAATATACTTGAAAATCTTCCAAATTCATTGTAATATATTGCGACGATATATTTACATGGAGAGGGTGCAAAAGTACAATTAAAATTCATGTACAACACAATAACAAAAAAAAGAAAACGAAATATAGATTTATCATTTATTAATATCCAATAAAGGAAATGGAATACAGTTTTGTTCGCTAAGCGTCATCTCCTTTGTCACCCTTAACTAGGAAAAGAAATGGGTGTCTCTGCGATAGGTTCGACTCCGGGGAAGAGGAAAGAAAGAGGGGAAGGAGAGGGAGAAGAGGATAAACCGAGTCGAACCGTGATCGTCAACATTATATACATATATGTATATATAAAACAATTGTTACACACTAGAGCGAGAGCGCATAATACAAAACAATGATTCTTCGGTTAGTTTATTACAATATGCTCTTTTACGTTTCGTTTACTAATAAAAATATAACTCTCATTACCGTTCAGTACAATGTGATCGTCCGTCTCCAATATATAGTATATAAGTAAAATATCTCTTGCAGTCGCTTATACGAATTTGTGAAGTGTTTGCCAAATTGTGCGTCTCAACATAGAGACTGCTATTAGATTCAGCTTTACGCAAGCGATTTATTTCGTATCTTTGTCTTTTCTCGACCGGCAAATTCTAAAAACGTTCGCTTTGTCGATAGGATCAGCAATAATATTATAATAAAAAATACTAATTAGCTACGCGTTTGATAAATCATCCTTAGTCATGGCTGACTAGTTTCTATTACATCCATAATTTTAATGATGATAATGAAATATTAAAAATCTTATTGTTAACTTTACAGCACGTCTATCTGTAACCGATTAGTCTTAACCGTAAGCGATTGATTTGATTATAAGCTAATTATTTAGGAGCTTAGCTCTAGTTAACAAAATAATTAATCTTGATTATCGATAAGCATTCTTAGTCAGAATTGTTGTAACATTAGAAAAGAAAGCCTTAACGTGTCGGCACAAAATTAATCTCGCTTCGATATCTTTCCTTTTTCGTTTCCGGATGATTCTCGTCGACTGCGAGAACATAAGTTTTCGTCATTTGAGATCAGAACTTCGGAAAAGATTTCTTCGTCTCAACAATGTAAGATTTCCCAAGAAAGCGCAATAGCTGAATCGAAATGGAGATTCCCCTTTTGACGCACGACTTGGCGGACACCTCACAAGAATGCATATATACACGTATGTATATACAGACGCACACAAGCACATTAACTGTATATATATGCATTCGTGTATATCTCCAAGTTTGCAACTTGTATATGTGTATACATTTTTTCCTCATTTAATATTTTATATACGTAGACATCTGTATAATATAGAAATATATATATATATA